CAGGAGAGAAGAAACGTGTTGAACGCAGACGCTTGCAGACGCGAGGGCCAACCGAGCGGCGAAAATCTGAATGAACAGATCAGGTCAAGAAGATTTCAGAAGCGGGCGTATCCGCCGTGACGTCCCCCGTTGGTTTGTGGACCGCCGTTTTGAAGCCTCCAGTTTGGCATTTTGGCCGCCGTCATCTTGTTTTATTTGGAACCTTGGAATATTGTGACCATATTTGGACGAGAGGGAGGAGCTAGCTAGCTTGAGCTAGGTGCAACTGTAATTCACATTAGCTGTGATATAAGCTGGGATGCTAATTTTGGCTAGCTAAAAATTAAACGTAGACTTCAAACTAGCGACTGAGACCATAAACTCATCGTAGGAGCTTCATGCTTGTGCAGAGATGAACCTTAAACGGGGGGGCGACTTAAACCTGCGTCCAACGAAGGTTAAAATGAAGGGCAACTGGACTTGGTTGAAGCTACTGGAAGACGTTTCGTCCCTCATCCAAAGGACTTCTTCAGTTCTGACTGACTGGCAGGGAAACTCAGCTATTAACCTCAGTGGGGTCGTTATCTCGGGTCATCGATACCGCTGGTTCGTTAGTGTTCCTGGTTGCTGTGACGACAGTCGTTACAGTCGTTAAGACTACCTGTGGCCAAGACTGAACGACCATCGTTGGTATCTTCACCTGAGGCCGAGAGGTTACGTTTGTTGAGTTTCCTGGGAAGTGATGAAAGGACAGCATTGTAAGTGGGGGATAAGTGGTGGCGTAGACCCCCTCCCCTGTTCAATGACGGCTTCTCAACCCTGGTGTAGATGCTTCCTTGACACCTCTTTCAAACCATCCATCTTCTCTGTCTAAAATGTGCACCTGGTGGTCCTCAAACGAGTGTCCTCTGTCCTTCAGATGTAAGTAGACAGCAGAGTCTTGTGTTGAGCCGGCTCAACACAGAAGGGCCAACTCCTCAGGACTCCTGATAACTCATAACTGAAGAAGTCCTTTGGATAAGGGACGAAACGTCTTCCAGTAGCTTCAACCAAGTCCAGTTGCCCTTCATTTTAACCTTCGTTGGATAACTATGACCTGGATGACTGAGAATCTTCATAAACCTGCGTCCTCTCTAGCGGCCAGCAGGGGGCGCCTTAAACCTGCGTCCTCTCTGGCGGCCAGCAGGGGGCGCCTTAAACCTGCGTCCTCTCCGGCGGCCAGCAGGGGGCGCCTTAAACCTGCGTCCTCTCCGGCGGCCAGCAGGGGGCGCCTTAAACCTGCGTCCTCTCCGGCGGCCAGCAGGGGGCGCCTTAAACCTGCGTCCTCTCCGGCGGCCAGCAGGGGGCGCCTTAAACCTGCGTCCTCTCTAGCAGCCAGCAGGGGGCGACTTAAACCTGCGTCCTCTCCAGCGGCCAGCAGGGAGCGCCTTAAACCTGCGTCCTCTCTAGCAGCCAGCAGGGGGCGACTTAAACCTGCGTCCAACGAAGGTTAAAATGAAGGGCAACTGGACTTGGTTGAAGCTACTGGAAGACGTTTCGTCCCTCATCCAAAGGACTTCTTCAGTTCTGACTGACTGGCAGGGAAACTCAGCTATTAACCTCAGTGGGGTCGTTATCTCGGGTCATCGATACCGCTGGTTCGTTAGTGTTCCTGGTTGCTGTGACGACAGTCGTTACAGTCGTTAAGACTACCTGTGGCCAAGACTGAACGACCATCGTTGGTATCTTCACCTGAGGCCGAGAGGTTACGTTTGTTGAGTTTCCTGGGAAGTGATGAAAGGACAGCATTGTAAGTGGGGGATAAGTGGTGGCGTAGACCCCCTCCCCTGTTCAATGACGGCTTCTCAACCCTGGTGTAGATGCTTCCTTGACACCTCTTTCAAACCATCCATCTTCTCTGTCTAAAATGTGCACCTGGTGGTCCTCAAACGAGTGTCCTCTGTCCTTCAGATGTAAGTAGACAGCAGAGTCTTGTGTTGAGCCGGCTCAACACAGAAGGGCCAACTCCTCAGGACTCCTGATAACTCATAACTGAAGAAGTCCTTTGGATAAGGGACGAAACGTCTTCCAGTAGCTTCAACCAAGTCCAGTTGCCCTTCATTTTAACCTTCGTTGGATAACTATGACCTGGATGACTGAGAATCTTCATAAACCTGCGTCCTCTCTAGCGGCCAGCAGGGGGCGCCTTAAACCTGCGTCCTCTCTGGCGGCCAGCAGGGGGCGCCTTAAACCTGCGTCCTCTCCGGCGGCCAGCAGGGGGCGCCTTAAACCTGCGTCCTCTCCGGCGGCCAGCAGGGGGCGCCTTAAACCTGCGTCCTCTCCGGCGGCCAGCAGGGGGCGCCTTAAACCTGCGTCCTCTCCGGCGGCCAGCAGGGGGCGCCTTAAACCTGCGTCCTCTCCGGCGGCCAGCAGGGGGCGCCTTAAACCTGCGTCCTCTCCGGCGGCCAGCAGGGGGCGCCTTAAACCTGCGTCCTCTCTAGCAGCCAGCAGGGGGCGACTTAAACCTGCGTCCTCTCCAGCGGCCAGCAGGGAGCGCCTTAAACCTGCGTCCTCTCTAGCAGCCAGCAGGGGGCGACTTAAACCTGCGTCCTCTCTAGCAGCCAGAAGGGGGAGACTTAAACCTGCGTCCTCTCCAGCAGCCAGCAGGGGGCGCCTTAAACCTGCGTCCTCTCTAGCAGCCAGCAGGGGACGACTTAAACCTGCGTCCTCTCTAGCAGCCAGAAGGGGGAGACTTAAACCTGCGTCCTCTCTAGCAGCCAGCAGGGGGCGCCTTAAACCTGCGTCCTCTCTGTGTACGTTTAACCAGCGTCGCTGAAAAAGCTCATCAGGAGTCGGCTGCTCATTTTTCAGGAAGTAAGTTTTGTTTTTAGCGTGTTTGTCGCTAGCTAAAATTAGCATCCCAGCTAATATCACAGCTAACGTGAGTTACAGATGCACCTTGCTAAACAAGCTAGCTAACTCTACCCTCACGTCTGGTTCCAAAAAACCAAGATGGCGACTGCCAAACTGGAGGCTTTGAGACGATAGTCCACAAACCAACGGGGGGCGTCCTGCCGGCTGCGCCCACCTCTTTCATAAAGTGTGTGGTGATGATATATTGAATTAAGATCAGCTGATCAGAATTTGATTATCACCTATTTCAATAATCAAATTCTCATTTTAGTACGGTGGCCCTGAGAGATCAACACAGACCGCAACCAAAACGGTTTCCATGAGACACTAAAAAGTGATGAACTCGGCCGGGACACGCTTGTTGGAAAGTCGATGTAAACAGGAAACTGTTTGGGTTGTGCTCTGTGCTAGTTGCAGCGTGTTTCTTGTATTTGGTTTTGTTTTCTCACTTAGTGTTTGTTCATCTGGATCTCTGCAGCTGATTAAATCTCCTTCTGTCAAATGGACATGAGATTCAAAAACAGGCAACGCGCCCTGTGCAGCCTTTAAAAACGGCCAAATGAAACGTGTCAGCTGTCTGGTTAATGCTCTTTCTTCCAGACACTGACTGCAAACCCCGACAGAGAGGCGAGTCTTCTCTGCTGAAACCATCACGTCGGGTCCATTTCAGGAGTCAGAACCTCACAGAAAACTGATCAGCTGCACACCTGTCAATCAGAACCGTTTGTATTTTAAATAAGGTGGAACGAGACTGTCAAAAGAAGGCGATTACAGATTTATGTTCAACTCTGGACGACGTGGGTTCAGTAAAAGGGATTTTAAATAGTTCAGTACTGAATTCAAACTTGTTGTTATCAACCTCCAACCCCACACCCGTGGGCCGCCGCAGCCCTCAGTGTGGAAACCGCTGACCCAAGTGACGCCTCGGCTGCTCCGTCATTTTCTATCAATAACCGGTGGAAGACAACAGCTGTCAAACGTCTCCCGCCTGTCTCTGACAGTGCAAACAGTGAAGAGAAACTACTGCAGAAGTACAAGAAAACCACCTCACTGAACATGTGACGTCCCTCCAGACACATGCCGGAAAATAAAGAGCGTCGGTCTCTTTAGATAGAAATCAGAAATACTCTAATGATCCCAGAGGGGAAATTCTTGTGTTACAGCGAAGTTGATGCTTCGTCTGCAGACCGCTTTACTCTTGAGTGTCATGTGAGTGTAATCGCAGCCTTTGCGATTAGAAAATCTCGTTTTATCACATGTGATAATATCGCACATGCGATTAATCGTTCAGCCCTGGATGTATGTACAGTACTGTGTAATGAATAAATCTGCTGTGTTGTATCTGGAGCAGCTGTAACACAGTGTGGGATCAATAAAGTTATTTTATCTTCGTGAGGTCACTTTAAAATCGCTGCACTGTAGAATATTTAAGCAATAAGCTATTTTTCAAGTTATGAAAACACCATAAAATCATGAAAATTCTTGAAGACGCACTTTATGTCACAGTAGGATCATTTATTTCTATTATTTTTTTATTTAATGTGTAAACGCTGTGTTGTATGTGGAGCAGCTGTAACACAGTGTGGGATCAATAAAGTTATTTTATCTTCGTAAGGTCACTTTAGGATCAGTGCGCTGAGTGATTTTAACTGAAATAAAACACCATAAAATCGGTTAAAATGCTTGAAGACGCACTTTTTGTCTCGGCAGGATTATTTGAGACAGGATTTATTACGTGTTGCATTAAAGTGTTGAAACTTTACAGAAGGGGGGGGGTCCATCTTCCTGCAGCACCGTGGGAAAAAACCAAAAAGCAGCTCGGGGATTCAAACACGATGCGAGATTAGAAACAGATGTTCAGAGAAGAAAGAAAAGAGTTTGTTCCACCGCTTTTTCTTTGTCAGGCGCTGAATTCCTCACTTTAAAAACTCTCGTTTCTGACTCAGCAATTAGATTTAAATAAGAAAGACTCAGCGGCACACGGTGCTTTTCCCCCGCAGCTCATTCACGGCACGTCCCGCGGCCGTGCAGCCGCCGCCGGCCGCCTGCTAATGAACCGCCCGAAACAAGGTCAGCTTCTACCGGGACTTTCCGGTTCTCCCCCCGGTGTTTGTGTCGGTGTTTCTCACCTTGCTTTGGCTGCAGCCCATTCCTCCTCCTCCTCCGAGCTCTGCTGTCGGTCTGAAGCCGCTCTGCTTCTTCTGCTGCTGCTGCTGCTGCTGCTTCTTCCCTCTGTTGACAACTTTCAAACACTCTAAAAAAAACCGTGAACGCACCGCTCGGGCCGCCGATCACAGGGGGGCGGGGCTTATCTGTGATGCCTTCAGGAACACTTTGTAAGTTCGTCACTCCGACGTTTCCTCGTCTTTTAAAAATTCAAACAATTCAGAAGATAAAATAAGATTAAAAGAACAGAGGGGACCAAGTGAGGTTGTTTTTTCACAGGTCACAAGTGTGTTAAACAAGATAAACCCCTTCAGTCCTGGGTCCTAATATACAAGACATTACATTACAAGAAAAAGACCAAAACAAAAACCACAATCAACAAAAACACGGAAACATCAAAAAGATAAAAGTCGCCTGCTTGGAGTCCTCACCAAATTTAATACCATTCCACATTTTTAACAAGAGTTAAAATTAAATAAAAAACTTTACTGAATAAAGGGCTAACCTGTACAGAAAAAACGTTTCACACAACAAATATCACAAGTGTTTTTTTAAACCTTCATTTCTATCTCTTTTATTCATCATATTTGTGACTCAAGTCATCTGAGTCGAGTCCGCACATCTTGATCACGCTTAATTTTGACTAGAAGCTAAAAAGGAAGAGCAGAAAAATATAAATATATGTGTAAGTAAGAAAGCACGAATGTGAAGCAACATTTCTTTGTATTATCTATTTATTATGGTGTTTTTTTAATGTTTGTACGAATGTGTGTAGTGAGTATTTGTGTATTTCTGTGGGTCAGACTTAGACCCTGAGTCTGTAATAAAGTTTCTGAAAGCACATTCCTGTTAAAACATGTGGAGTTTTCTGGTAAGTTGAGTATTTAAAGGGTATTTTGACAAACATGTTTGTCATTTTGATGTTTAATTGCATGTAAAGATGAAACTTTGTTTACGTTGTTCAAGCAGCTTATAACGAGTTTCTGTTCATCGTCAGTTTGTTGTTGATACTAAAATGAGCCTTTTTACTTTTTACTCTTTGAATGCAGGACTTGTAAGAGAGATTTTTATTATCTATTAATCTGCAGATTATTTTCTCAATTTATTGTTTGTTCAAAACATTCTGTAATTTGTCTCTCTGACCAAATCTAGAAGATATGAATGAAAATAACCAGCAGCAGCAGCAGACATGCTGTTTTCATCGGTGTGGCGACCTGCAGCTGAACTTCCAGGTGTTTGTGTTTTGACTTTCAACGGCGTCTGCATCACGAAACCTCTGACATGACCACATTTTTAACAGCTGATGTCAGCGTCAAGCACGCGTGCGTGTGTGCGTGTGCTGTAAATACAATAACTCTCCACAGTAAAGTAACATGTTATCAAGTGTAACTCAGCAGATATGAAACTACGTGGAAAGTTTGTGTGAACGAGCTCTAAATTCAAAATGGCGTCTGCAGATTTATGTCTCTGCAAGTTTTTCTCCTCCTGCTTCTGTCTTATGAACTTTAATGCACATAAAACACCGAAACACACACAGGATGTACTTCACTTCTGAGGACTTTGAGCTGGTAGATTTGATCTGCTATGTAGGAGGTTTGTGGTCTTTATGTTGTTGTGAGGACCCACGGAGGGGGGGGGGGGGCTTTGGCAGCAACACACAAACACACTTGTGCATCTGAAAATAATTAGATGACAACACACAACAAAGCATCACACAGTTAATCAGCAGGATGTGTGAAACCTCCCAGTCAGCGTGTGAGGTGATTAATTTCGGTTTAAAGCTGCACGGCATCCGGTGTCAGACACAGTGACCTGCTCTTTAACTGCTCTGGTGCTGCTCGTTTCAGGGGTTCAACCATTTATTGTTGTTTAAAACTCCCACACAGACACAATCTAACTGCTGAAACAGTTACATGCTTTAGTGCCACCTAGTGGTGAGGGTTGTGAATTGCAGCCAGGGGCTCGCGGTGCGTTCATGTGCTCCTCGGATGGTCCCGCTAACCGAGTGGTGAAGTCGGTCCGACTTTAGTGTGTGTTCATGTGCTCTGAAGTCAGACTGTGGAATCAACATGGACGCTGCTACAGAGATGTGTTGGATTAACACAGAGACGGGCAGCATCTCACCAGAGTAATCGCTAACTGCTCAGTTAGCCGTGAAGCTCGTAGCAGCCCCGTTAGCCGACTGGGAGCTCGAAGCACCGACCGGCAACCTCCAGCTCTCACGAGTGGGTCAGTGTCAATCTGTAAATTAGCCTAATTAGTCAGGTACAAAGTATTCAGATCATGTACTGCAGGAAAAGTACTAATACCAACGATAAATACTCTGGCCCTGCAATGAAAATGGTACTTAAGTAAATTCAATTCAATTCAATTTTATTTATATAGCGCCAAATCACAACAACAGTTATCTCACAGCGCTTTTCATAAAAGAGCAGGTCTAGACCGAACTCTATGATGCTATTTACAGAAGCCCAACAATTCCCAAAAATTCCCACGTAAAGTAAAAGTATTACTACCACACTGTATGAGTCACAACAGTCACAGGGGACATTTCACTGTACTGAGTACTTTTACTTCAAGTACATTTTCCTGATTAACAACATTAAGACTTTTACTTGTAACAGAGTATTTTGCATGAATATAAATTAAGGATTTTACTCACTTAGTTAAGAACAAATCCTCATATTTTATAAACTCTTCATATCATAAGCAGAGATAGCGTGGGTGCAGCCACCTCAGGGCCCCGGCTGGTAGAGGGCCCCTTATCTGGGCCATATAGTTTAGCTCAGTTGATTATTGTGGTCACAGACAAACAGCTGCATGCAGCTCCGCTGTACCGGGAAAATTCAGCAGGTCTTATCAAATGAAACGGTCTCTCCACTCCTGGTTTCAACAGTAAACTACCACAAGAATGAAAACTACCAACACAAACACAGCAGATTCTACGGAGACACGTTTTATTAAACATAAATCATAAAGTAACATTTGTATTTCAATCAAATGTCAACTTAGTACATTTTAACAAAACTCCCTTCACCCTCGTGCATCATGGGAAGTCTGAGGGAGGGGCTTAGGCTGCGTGTGCACAGCGGGTTATTTACGGCGTCCACTGGAAGCGTCTCAGAAGCGTTTCAGCAGCGCAGCGTGCAGCCTGCCCCACCTGAATGACTTGTTTTTAATATGTCCTTTTTGTGCCTCTACTTCCTTCTTCACAGCTCTCTGAGACCCGCTTTCGTTCCTCGTCTTGACGGGTGCTACTAGCACCTACCACAGGGAGCATTTCAGACTAAGAGCGTTTTGCCTGCTGGAGTCTGACTTCCTGCCCGGTTCATCTAAATGTACTTTCCAACTGTGCGGTCACTGAGTTTCAGCAGCTGTTTGGCAGCAGACAAACTCTCCACTCTCTTAATCTTCCTGTTTGCAGACATGATCCGATTATTGGCTCCTCACACTCAGGATCAGTTTCTCTGGATCAGCCAATCAGCATTAAGCTCTTAACTGGATCAGGTGTGCAGAAGCTGGAGGGGAAACAGGAAGTTGAGCAGGATATTTGTTTTGTATTTAAAGGATTCTTAGTTAGACGTTCACATAAAGTCCCCTCAGAGCCCAAACAACTAGGGTTGGTTCGATTCCAGTGGTTCTTATAGAATCTCGCTTCTGGTTCCTTCACCTTAGATCCCGTCAGCGCTCAGTGGCCTTCCTCCTCTTCCTCCTTGCTCATCTTCCCCTTCACATCTCTAAAGTGAAAGGAGTCTCTGTCCTAGAGCGGCGTCTCTGGGACTCGTCTCATCTGGAGCCATCGTTGGTTTCCCTTTAGTATAAAAGGTGAACGTCGGCTCACCTGTGTTTTGGACCTGAGACGTTGCTCCTGTTAGCATTAGCTGGATCTGGGAGAGTGCGACACGTTGAACACGGTGAAGCGTTCCTTCAGATTCACGCCGTGTTGAAGGAAACGCTTCGTCACGTTGGAGCTGCTTCCTCCCTCGTACCAAACCTCCTTCCTGCAGCTGGTGCAGGTTTTTAGTGAAGCTAAGCCAAAGTTTGGAGCGTTTGCTGCGGTCCGCCACGATCCGGGACCGGAACCAGAAGGACTCTCTTCTTCAGGCTTTGACGTATCACACAAGGTGACGTCAGGTCGGCGTAGAAGCTCCTGGCAGATCAGAGACACTTTGATGGACTGGAAGATGCTCACTGCAGTTCAGTCAGGAGCTGAGATATGCAGGAAGTTAGGAACCGAGGAGCGGGATCTAAACGCTGGGATGAATTCACGGTTCTTGGGAATCTGGTTCAAACTTGGAACAAGTTCTTGACACCCAGCCATACAAACAACTGATGTCGGTTGTGTCATCGTCACTGCTGAGCCTCTTTAATGTCTCTTCTCTCCTCTCTGGATGACGACAGATGTAAAACGTCATCACACAATCGCAGCATTTGATGTTGGCAAAAGACGTCACCCGTTGGTTTGTGGGCTACTGTTTTGAAGCCTCCAGTTTGGCATTTTGGCCGCCGCCATCTTTATTTTTATGGAACCAGACGTGACCAGATTTGGACGTGGAGCTAGCTCTGTAATTCACATTAACTGTGATATTAGCTGAGAGGCTAATTGTAGCTAGCGACAAACAGTCTTAAAACAAAACGTACTTACTGAAAAATGAGCAGCCGACTCCTGATAAGTTTTTCTCAGCGGCGCTGGTTAAACGTACACAGAGCAGCCAATGCGTTCTCATCTCAATGAGTCATAACTGACGCTTTCAGACAGCGTGACAAAGCGTATTTTACCCTTCAGCATCCATATGAAACGCCACGTTTGCTACGTCCCAGCAACACAAAGGAGGCTAACCCTACCTGCTAGCACATCGACAGTCGACATGCATAAAGTCCGTGACTTAGGTTCAGGTACTAACATGGACCTGATGGTTGTGGTTAGGGTAGGGGGTTTCGGGGAGCTGTCAACACCTTTAACATGAACGTAGCTAGCTAGCCAGAGCATCTCATAAAGATGTTAAAGGGTACCTTTGGCGTCAAATTACTACGCTTTGTCACTTTTTCTGAAAGCGTCGGTATTGGACGCCCTGGGGATGAGGACGCTCTGGAGCAGTGGATACGAGTCGCC